GGTCCTCCAGGATGCCTTACAGAGCCTCCTCTTTCCTCTACACTTAGGGCACTCAAGCCCCACTGACCCTCCAGGATTGGCTCCCATATCCTCCCTAGAGCAGCACCTAAAGTTCCCTGCTGTCCTCATGGCTGTAGGGATGCTCAGTCATATCACTATAAGGGAAACGTAGTGTGTCCTGTCATCAGCTGCTGCCACTGATGACCTTCATTGCACTTCTCCATGCCTTTCCCAAGTGACCCCACTCTCACCAATCATCAGGAAGATGGAAAGCAGCCTGCACTGCATGATGTTATGAGCAAGTCAGAGATCACAGGAGTCTCATGTATGTGCAGCTCATAATATCACCAAGAATTCCTATTTTGACTTTCCCTGACTCCTCATCCTCTCTGAGCAGTTACTCACTCTGCCCATCCACTCTAAGACTTTCTTCTTGTGCAGATGCTAATGGTGTTTTCATCTGGAGACGGATGTGATTCTAATGGTGGAATACTAGATGTGTACTTGTCACATCCTCACATCTCTAAAAATAAAAGTCCCTCCTTTTGAGTGTATATTTAGTAGTACTTTACTTAGTTCCAAAATATTTGGAATCCTTTTAATAAATTTTTTAAAAATTAATTTTAGCATTTCAGTGGCTTTAGAGGTACGAGTGGTTTTTGGTGACAGTGATGAATTGTATAGTAGTGAACTCTGGACTTTAGTTACCCATCACCCTCATAGTGTACTTTGTGCCCAAGAGGTAATTTTTCATCCCTCCTCCTTCTTCCACCAACTGCCTTCTGACAACTTTCTGTTTGCAATTTCTAATACAATTCTCTCAGTTATGAATAATTTGTTTTTTATGATTTAATCAGCTTCATTTTATTGAAATATCTTGTGGCCATAAATATATGTATCATTAGCTAATAGTTTGAAAAGACCATGGAATCTGCTGTGGTTTGGTGGAGTGTTCTCTAAGCATCAATCTTGTCCAGGTGGTTAATAGTGTTTTTCAAGTCGTCTGTATCTGCAGTGGCCCAAGGGACAGGGCTGTTTGCACTGCAACCCGCACCTGCTGCAGAGCCCTTTTCTATCCTGAGTCCCACTCATGACTGCAGACTTTCATGTCACCTGGTGGACCAAATCTGTATTCTAAGGGGGTAGAATATGTAGCCTCCAGAAGCTAAAAATGTCCTACTTGGGGCTTCCTTCTTTTAAAGATGAAGACATTCATTAAAAACACTGGAATAAAATAGATACTCCTGTAATCCCGAACTCTGATTCTCTCCGTGTTGATATAGCACACATTACAGTGGCCTTGTTAATGGGGACACCACTTAGTGTCATTTGATGGCAGCTGTAGAGACGAATGCCCAGATTCAATATTTGAATTGAGAGGGAACTTTCAAGACACAGAATGCTCAGGTAGGAAACAGAAGCATTACTTCACTTTGTGCAGTTTGCTGGTGGCTGAGGTGGGCTCTGCAGAATGTTTAACAAGCACAGAGGGAAAGCTCACCATTTAATCCCACAGCTGTGTGTATAGTTTTATAGGATTTCTAAACATTTTTACAAGAAAAAGTAAAGAACAATAATTTGAATATTTGGAAACAGGTTCAGCTTAGACAGGTCTAAAACAGGGTATGAAGGTGCAACATACAAGCAACCCTCTTTCTTCCAGTGCTGGAGAGAGAAATTCTCAGAAGCAGAAGACATACATTCACAGAGGCTTCATTCCCTGAACTCTTTGGGTTTCAGAATATTTACCTGTGAATCTATAGTCCAGTGAGTGACAATTTACAGTTAGTGAGATAATGCAGACAGCTGCAACCCCAGGTGCCTTGCAGCCAGGAATCCAGTCACAGGACCTGCAGCTTCACAAAGGGACACTCCGTGGGTGGCTTGGTCTCAGTTCTCATCCGAAGAGAAACTCTTCCCTTTACTCAAAATAACCTTCGTTGCATCCCATGTGGGGAACAGGTTTCTGTGTTTCTCACCCTCATCCATGGTAGTGTTTGTTTGGACAATATGGGCCAATACAGTCTGTAGAACAAAGTCTACAGAATTGGAAACAGTGACATATAAGTGAGCTAAAGATGGCCTGTGTGTCCTGGCCCCTATGTTGCTTATTTCAAAAGAGAAGAATATTTCAGCCTTTCAGAAAATACTTTGCGTGTCCAGAAAATTTCAACCACATCTGCTAGCAATAAGATAAACCCCAGTTATGAAAACCTTAAACCAGAAACTCCCCACTGTGCTGCTGTGCGGCATCCCCCAGACACACAGCCCCTTGTCCAGTGACCCTTCCGTTTTGAGAAGCAACCCTGGGACCTTATTCTCTGCACGGTTTCCTGCTGAGGGGCTTCTCTCTGCAAACCTGACAAAGCCTCATCCAATCAAGTCATGTGTGCGACTGCCCCCCTGTGGCCATCTCCATTCCTTGATCAGCCCGCAAGCCCTTCCCTACAAATTGGATCAAAGTGTCCACCCCAAACACTGACGCCACGAACAAAAACAATTCCACTTCCAACACTCTCTTCCCAAGTCTTATGAATAAAGCATTTGCTCCCAATTCTATGGACCCCAAACTAACCGCATCAGGGAAAGGAGACACAGCCATAATAAACCCCACCTGTATAAGTCGTCCCTCATTCAGGTGACCATGGTTCATGTTAGAGACGCTCAGAGGCAGAGGCCTGCTGCACACCCAGATCCTAATGGAGATGGTTCTGAAACCTTCTGATTTGTGTACACTGTGGAGTGACCACAGTGTTGCTGTCAAAGCCTTGGCATAAAGTGTCAACACATAAGAGAGGGAGGTTTGTAATCAGAATCAGTAATGTTATTCTTTAAGTCTATAGGTAATACACGGTAATTTCAAAGTCCTCTTCTGAATAAAAAAGATCTTTACAAGATTTCACATTTTATGATTATGCAAGGCAACAGATCATGAGATTCGTCTTAATTACAGTGGTAGCCTTCTTAACAATTTATTATGAAGTCTCACAGGAATTAGCAAGCTTGTCTTAAATTCAAGCATCTTAAAGAATACTTTGCAAAAATAATATGTTCAAGAATTGACTTTTAGTAAAAGAAAAGATGACAACATTTTTACTGTCATTCACTTTTCTGCAATTCAAATTTCTAGATTGGATAATGGATGCAACTGATTCTTCATTTAACACCCTTTCAGGATAATTATTTAAAACTTGCGATAAGATGGACCATCTTGTTCCACTTTAGTTAGGCTGATTGTGGTTTGTGTTTTATTTTTCTTTTCCTTCAGCCTCTGATGTTCCTTTTTTTCACTATTATGATTAATTAGGGCTCTGACGTTTTGAAGACTGAGAAGGAGATTAGAATTGGTTAATTACATAAGAAAAGAAAAATCACATACACAAAAGTTACTAAATTTAATGAGAGAAGAGTAAATAAAATATGAGCCTTTATTTCAATCCATTCTCTTAAGTACAATTTGATCTCCGTAACCCACATTATTGCAATGGAATTCAATATTTAAAGGTCACTATTGTTGGTTTTTCAATTATCTTTTCCAATCTTGTAAAAAATGTTATCTTAGATTTCCCACAAGATATTTAAACCGAGTTTTCCTCTGAAATATTACCTAGAATTTCATTTGTTTGTGCTCTTGGGCAATTAATTATGAATTTCTGTTAAATTTCCCATGATTACATAGTATTTCAATTACAATTCAGTCTTTCCATTGTTCCCGTATTTTTTTTTTCCAGAAATGTGACTGTCCTTGTGATGGTATTCGGTATCAGCACCATTATTCAGGAACTGTCCAATTAAACATTGAGCTCATCACTAACAAGTGAAAAAAGGTGAAATTGTTTCTCTTTCTAATGATCAGCTGTATGACAGACTCACATCCCTGAGCTGTGAGTGTCTTTTCAGGAAACCATGAAAATGTCAGTTTCAGGTACAGGTTACCCTGAGACATCAAACTGTCGATGCAGTCCTTGCTCTTCTCACATAGAAAATTTCCTTCTGAACTGCAGATTCATGGCTGTGGCTGCACCACATCTAGGTTGGGCGAGACTCAGGTCTCACCCAGAGTTGGCAAGAACCTGGAAGCCCTGATAGGACCTGATCCCACGTGACCAGGGAGACTGTGTGAGAAGAGTTTTCCTAAGCACCACTCGGAAAAAAACATGAAGCAATGTGATATCTTATTGGTCTGTATCATTAACCGAGGAAAGTCTTCCCTATGAGATCCTCCTGGTTAATCTGGTATATGTGGGATGATTTTGTTGAGATATATCCCAGATTGAACAGATGGTCACCAGGAATTTTATATTCACTGCCTGAGGCATAACATTCTTGTACCCTTTCTTCTTACTTATGCTAAGCTCTTGTCTCTAAATGTAGAGACCCACATCATTCTCTGTGAGGTGTTTGGTCAGAGTGCTCTTATGGGGCTCACTCACCAGTTTCCAGGGTAGGGTAGATCTTTACACTTGCTTTGAACAATGTTGACCAGTTGTCCTGGAAACAGCAGACACCAGGCAACACTTGAGCTGGCTCAGGAGCACTTTTCATTTGCAGGCCCTCTGCCCATCAGTGCTTGTGGGAATGGGGCTGTTTTCTTCTCTAGATTGACAGGAGGGAGCCATGCAGGATGGCATTCACCTCCCAGAGATGTATCCTGGAAACACATTTCCACATTGTCAGAGTTCTTGTGCTTTCTCAGTGTGGCATGCACTGCACGATGTGTCCCTGCCCAAGGTCTCAACTTTCACAGTCAGAGACTTCTTCCCTTGACCACAGGCAAACTTGACTTGAACTACGTTTGTTTTGCTCCAATGAACATTTTATGTCACATTGTTCACAGAAGAGATATTCCCCCTGCCCCATCAACCTTTTCCACACCACTGCACCCACCAGATGATTTGCGTATTGTGCCCTAGAAAGGTCCTTCCCTCGTGAGTCTGAGATAAACGCTCAGCTCTAACCTTGCCTTGACTGATCAGGACTCCTCAGGTCACCTTCTCACAATGAGGCTCCCTGATCAGCTCTTGGGGCTGCTAATGCTCTGGCTCCCTGGTAAGGAGAGGATTAAAATAAGGTGGGAAAATAGGGTGGAAGGATGAGATCTGGGGACCGTACAGCTTCCTATATTTATTTCAACCGTGTGTGCCAGGCACATGGTCTATGCTCCATTATCGAGAATTCATTTATTTTTCTCAGGAATAATCAGGAATCACCTCCCAGGAACGATGACCAGTGCTCTGATTAAGAACTTGAAAATAAAGAGTTCCCTCCTGGCTAGTAAATAATAGGTTCATTTTAGAAACTCCACCTTTCATTATGTAAATCAAAACTTGAAAAACTCTGTAACTGTAAATCAATATCTTAAGGGAAATCATGAAAGTTGCTCAAAATGTGTTTATATAACCTTGCACATCACTGTTATTATTTCAGGATCCAGTGGGGATATTGCGATGACCTTGACTCCACTCTCCCTGCCCGTCACCCCTGGAGAGCTGGCCTCCATCTCCTGCAAATCTAGTCAGAGCCTCTTGGGTAGTGATGACAAAAACATCTATTTGGATTGGTACCTGCAGAAGCCAGGCCAGTCTCCACAGCTCCTGATCTATGATGTTTCAAGCTGGGCCTCTGGAGTCCCAGACAGGTTCAGTGGCAGTGGGTCAGGCACTGATTTCACACTGAAAATCAGCCTGGTGGTGGCTGAGGAGGTTGGGGTGTATTACTGCATGCAACATACAGAGTTTCCTTCAACAGTGGTGCATCCTGGAACAGAAAGCTCCCTGCTGGGGTGTCCCAGCTGCTCACATATGCTTTTTATCTGGGGAGCAGCTTAGCAGGGTCTCTGAGTCTGCAGAAGAAGAGGCTGTTGGAGAATACAGGGCAGAATTTGCTGCTGAGGACTCCGCCTGGGACGACAGGTGCATGCCACTAAGCATGGCTAATTTTTCTATTTTTTGTTGAGTAGGTACTTCACCATGTTGCCCAGCCTGTTCTCAAACTCATGGGCTCAAAACACCCACCTGACTTGGTCTCCCTACAGGCTGGGAGTCCAATGTGAGCCATTGCTCCAGGTCAGCACCCTGTTTATGTTCCTGTCACCTGCCACAGCCTTGACTCTCTTAAGCAACAGGGGAATGAGGAGGTTCTAGGGCCCTGTGAGTAAAAAATTGAAAGGAAAAGGCAGGGAGAATGGAAGCTCATCTGAATCCTCCTTCCTTGCCTGTATTTGTTTAAATTTCTTGAGCAAAACAGCCAGACAATTGATTATTTCTGGCAAAAAATGTTGAGTACATCTTAGGGTTTAACAGTTTTGGGTATCTTTTAAAGAAAATATTTGATTATATGTAAAAATTGGGATTTTACCACTTTTTAAATTCCTGCTTCTTCTATTTACCATTCTTCTCCACTCCATAAGACAGTAGAGACAGGATTCTCCACTAGTTCTCGGGGAGCGCTGGCTGAGGACAATCAGTAACATCTTGGTTGTGAGTGTCAAATAGATTTTGTAATTTCATAGCAGACGCAAGTTCCTAATACTAAAACTCTTTGATTACAATTATCTCTTGCCGATAGAAAAAGAGAGCTCCTGAAATTTCGAAAGTTGGTTTTAAAAATAAAATGCATATACTGGAAGATGCAGTATACTAAAGATATAGTATTTTCCATGGATCACTGAGGTTACCCTGAGACATCAAACTGTAGATGCAGTCCTTGCTCTTCTCACATAGACAATCACCTTCTCAACTGCAGATTCATGGCTGTAGCTGCACCACATTTAGGTTGGGCAAGACTCAGGACACATCTAGATGTGTATAAGAGACAGGTATACTAAAGATATAGTATTTTCCATGGATCACTGAGGAAATACAGGGTGATGTAAACTGTTTTATTTTCCAAAGTTCAGAATTTGAGATTGGGCACACTTCGGGAATGGGAGCATGAAGAGAACACAGGAGAGGTCAGCTATTGCTCAATTAAACTGTCCTTGATTATGGTGGGTGAGGATGTGTCTGGAAGTGGTGATGGCAGTTGATGATGTGGATCCAAAAAAGGGCCAAATATGTTTCTTGTGAAGAACCACAAAGTTGAAGGCACTGCTGCCTGGCTTCCTAGGTGGAGCCTGTGCCACTGGCAGTCTCAGGAAAGTAATGTCGTGAGTAAGCATTTAGTTCTGTAATCACCAAAGATTTACTGAAGTCCCTGTGCAAAGAGACCTGAGATCATGTCACTCAGTTCTAGTCAAATCACAGCAGCCAGGCAGAGCTTCTGAAACTTATTCTATCCTTAGGGGAGGTCTAGCAGAGACCACTGTTTCGGTCTGGGAGATGTCACAACCACTGACATGCTGAGCAGAAGGCCCAGCAGGATGTAATCCAGCAGGTTTTGATAAATGACAACTTTGATATTAAGTTGTCATAAACAAACAATAAAAGGATTTGAAGTAAGTAAATATATTATTTTTACACAATGTGATCATTACCTAAAATAAATTTGATGTGTATATTCTAGTGGTAATGGTATAGAAAAATGTATGATTTATATATATTCAGTTAAAATAATGTTCCAAAAATATTTATGAATTATTCATGGGCATGCCAGTTACCTGTCATGAGGTGATATGCTTAAAGAAATGTTTGTATTAAAAGGACAAAATACCTTTTTTCTTGTTAAAAAATTTAATCACATCAGAAATGATCGTCTATTCTAAGATGACAGATCCCATAGTGAGTGAATTTAAAATTGTATTTTTCTTTTTTTTTGAGAGGGAGTCTCACTCTGTCACCCAGGCTGGAGTGCAGTGGTGCAATCTCAGCTCACTGCAAGCTCTGCCTCCCAGGTTCATGCCTTTCTCCTGCCTCAGCCTCCCGAATAGATGGGACTACAGGCACCCGCCATGACGCCCGGCTAATTTTTTTGTATTTTTAGTAGAGACGGGGTTTCACTGTGCTAGCCAGGATGGTCTCAATCTCCTGACCTCGTGATCCGCCTGCCTCGACCTCTCAAAGTGCTGGGATTACAGGCGTGAACCACCGTGCCCAGACTAAAATTGTATTTTTAAGCAGAAATGTCAAAAAAGGAAAGAAAGAAAGAAAGAAAGAAAGAAAGAAAGAAAGAAAGAAAGAAAGAAAGAAAGAAAGAAAGAAAGAAAGAAAGAAAGAAAGAAAGAAAGAGAAAGAAAGGAAGAAAGAAGGAAAGAAAGAAAGAGAAAGCATGGAATATAGAAAGGAATTTGTCACACATACAAAGAATGACAAGTCTTTACTTTTCCATTCATGAGTGAGAACACACATCCAACCCAACATTTATTGATTTCACTCCCACAATCACCAGTGTGGAGACTAAAGGTAGTACAATGAAAATTACATTCTTAACCAAAAAGTACCAAAACAAAGAAAAGGCGGTTCATAGAAAATAGTTTGCAAAATAAAGAATGACATGTCTGTAGAAGGTATTGACAAGTGGGGACTCACATCTAACCAAAATTCTAGGGATTTCATCATGACAAGCACTACTTTGGAGCCCTGAGATGCTGCACATCCTCCTGTGAGCAGGATACTCTTTGGGACCCTGCACAGTGAGATGTCCCCAAACACAACTCTCCCAAGGAAGTTGAGCCTCTCAGTGTGGCAGGGGAGGTTGTGGTGCCAGGGAATGTGTCCACAGCAGGTAGAGTCGAGTGGGCTCAGACAGTTGGCTAGAGAGTCTTCAGGGAAGAGGACATGAGGCCTCAGTCACAGGTACGTGCTCCTATTCTGTGTGAACAGGGGCTAGATCTCTCCAGGGCACCGTTCAGAGCCTTTTCCTTCCTAACTCCTTTGGGCACACAAGCCCCACAGACCCTCCAGGGTTGGCTGCTACATCATCCCCGGACCAGCCAATAAAGTTTCCTGCTGTCCTCATAGCTGCAGGGATGCTCAGTTATGTCACTGGGAGGAGATCCTCATGTGTCCCGTCCTCACCTGCTACAGGCATACTTGACTTGAACTATGTTTGTTTTGCTCCATTGAACATTTTATGTCACATCGTTCACAGTAGAGATATACCCCCTACACCATAGACCCTTTCCACACTGTTGCCCCCACCAGGTGATTTGCATATTGTCCTCTAGGGAGGACCTTCCCTTGTGAATCTCAGATAAAAGCTCAACTCTAAACTTGCCTTGACTGATCATGACTCCTCAGTTCACCTTACAATGAGGCTCCCTGCTCAGCTCCTGGGGTGGCTAATGCTCTGGGTCCCTGGTAAAGATGGAAGTAAAATGAGGTGGGAAAATGGGGCTGGAAGGTGAGTTCTGGGGGCTCCACAGCTTCCCATATTTATTTCAACCATGTGTTAGAGCCACATAGTCTATGATCCAGGAAAGAAAATTCATATTTTGATCTTACAGATAAACAGGATTCACCTCCAAGGAACAATGACCACTGCTGTGATTAAGATCTTGAAAATAAAGAGGGAATTTGTCCACAGCGTGTGGAGTCAGGTAGACTCAGGCAGTTGGCTGGGGAGTCCCCTGCTGGCTGGTAAATAATGGGTTTATTTTAGAAAGGCTACTTTTTATGATATAAATTAAAACTGGAAAATACACGTAACTATAAATCAGTATCATAAGGGAAATCGTGAAAATTGCTCATAATATGTCTATATAACCTTGCACTTCTCTGTTATTATTTCAGGACCAAGTGGGGATATTGTGATACCCAGACTCCACTCTCCTAGCCTGTCACTGCTGGAGAGCCACCCCCATATCCTGTAGGTCTAGTCAGAGCCTCTTGCCCAATGATGGATATGCCTAATTGTATTGATTCCTGCAGAAGCCAGGCCAGTCTCCACAGCTCCTGATTTATTTTGTTTCAAACCGGGCCTCTGAAGTCCCAGACAGGTTCAGTGGCAGTGATTCCAGCACTGATTTCACGCTGAAATCAGCCGGGTGGAGGCTGAGGATGTTGGGATTTATTACCTCATTCAAGCCCTAGAGTTTCCTTCCACAGTGGTACAGCCCTGAACAGAAACCTTCCTTCTGGGGTATCTCAGCTGCTCACATGCACTGCTTGTCTGGGGAGCAGGTCAGCAGGGTCTCTGAGTCTGCAGAACAGTAGGCTGCTGGAGAATACAGGGCAGAGTTTGCTGCTGAGGACTCTGGCCCATGGCAGCCTCAGCTGTGCCTAAGTTCCAAATGTTAAGGCTCCACCAGCTGCCATGGGTGGCCACGTACTCTGCAAGCAAGCAGCTCTGATGAAGGGTGAGTCAATGAAAGCTCATCCTCACCCTCCCTGTCTGGCCCACATTTGTCAAGTCCATTTATTTGGCAGAACAATCAGATCATGGAAGCAGCTTAGTGGTAACACAGTGAAGTACATGTTAGAAATGTCTGGTTCGGGGATAGTTTTACACATGGTAACACTTGGTCATGCTGGGAAATGGCTGTCTTCCCACTTTCCAAACTTTCTCTCTCCTTTACCACTCATACAAAACTGCCCTCTCTAGTATTATGGTGGAGAAAGCATTCTGCTGTTTGCACAGGAGTATGGCTAAGAATAATTAGTTAAAATGTTTGATTTTATTTTTACTATGTATGGATTTTTAAAATCCAGGGCAGATATAAATCCTAATACCGAAATAGTTTGATTTGCCTCAATTACCTTTTGCTGACTGAAAATAGAGTTCTTGCAATTCCAAAAGTGGGCATTGAACATAGACAAAATAATTCAGATGGAGAACATAAAGTTTACATAATGTACCACAGGAACAATGCAGAATTATATGAGTTTTTATTTCCTCCTCAAATTCTTAGAATTTTAAAAATATTTTACTGATACAGCATTTTAAAGAGAAA